CTCTCCTCTCCATCCCGTTGTAGTTGTCCAAGCACCCCCTCTCCTCCCGATCCCGTTGTAGTTGTCCAAGCACCCCCTCTCCTCTCCATCCCGTTATAGTTGTCCAAGCACCCCCTCTCCTCTCCATCCCGTTGTAGTTGTCCAAGCACACCCTCTCCTCTCCATCCTGTTGTAGTTGTCCAAGCACCCCCTCTCCTCTCCATCCCATTGTAGTTGATTTTCTGTTGACGCTTTTCTGCAACCGAATGTTTTGTTTTATTAATTAATTAATTAATTTGGCAGTTCCGGGGATTGAACTCTGGCCCTTGTGCTTGCCAGGGAAGCACTTATTCTATTGAGCCATCTCCCCCGCCCAGAATGTTTTAAAAATAATTTAACCTTTTACGTTCTGGTATAATTCCGTAATTATTGAAGATTTGTTTGGAATATATGTAGAGAAATTTTAATTTGAGTGTTATAAGTAAGTTTCTTAGGTTGGCTCCTATTTAGAAAAGTGTAATCTGCCTGGGTCTTGTGCTTCGGGAGATGTTTAGATTTGGTAATAAATAAAAGTAGTGCAGCTCAGAACCATGTGGCCCTTGGTATTTCCTTTCAGTTGTTTCTGTCATTTCTTAAGCACTTTTGTTACCATTATGTTTGCCTAAAAACTAAGAAAAAAATGCTTCATTCTCTAAATATCCTCATTTACTATTAAATTGTATAGTACTGTGAATGAGCAACTACCATATAGGGTGTCATTTTGTCCCTTTCCCTGTACATTTCGTGAAATACTTTTACCTCAGATCTTTGTATCAAATCTTTGTATCTGTCATGGCAGTGTTTTTGTCTTCAGTAAGATAATTTTCGTTCAGATGAAGTCTTTATTTCTATCTGCATTGTTTGAGGTGTAGCATATTTTAAGTTTGTGTTATTATTGAAAATTTTATATTTAAAATTTAAAATTTTCTCTCTCACACACACACACACACACACACAACTAAGGCGCTGTTAATTATGCTGAATCAGTGATTGCATTGAAGAAATATATTTATTTGAATGTGAGAAGTTTAAAATACAGATGTAGACCAGTCCTAGGAAAGTCACTACTTTCTTAAAATGAATTCAGTTTGTTTTTGTACAAGAAGGCTTATTGTGATTTGGTGAAGGGAACTTTTTGCTATAAGCGAGAAATGAAGAACGTTAGATCTAACTTTTTTAAAAATTTGTAGTGTAATTATGTGTAAAAAAAGTTATCGTCTGGGATGATAACTCAGGAGGATAAGTGCCTGCCTGGCAAGCCCAAGGTCCTGAGTTTGATCCCTGGTGCCCTCCTCCCCCCAAAAAAGTTCTCTGTTGCTCCAGTTTTCATTTATGTCCGTATTTTATGTTTCATTTAGACATTTTTACAAGAAGGGATGCCTACTTCTGCACGATGTGACGATTTGGAAGCCTTAAAGAAGAAGGGCTGCCATCCAGACGACATAGAGAATCCCAGAGGCTCCAAAAACATAAAGAAAAATAAGAATGTGACCGAAAGGAACAAAGGCATGGCGGGGAAGCTAAACCTGGAAGACATCACTCAGATCCAGCCGCAGCAGCTGGTCCTGCAGCTGCGCTCAGGTGCGCAGGCCCCCCGGTGCCCCGCACCCCGTGAGGTCACTGGCTTTGTGCTGGTCGCAGGGCCTGTGCCTGCCCCACATGCACTCTGCTGCCTGCTCTCCACTGGAGCTTTTCACATGTGATACGCGGCGGTGGCCCTTGGTTTGGGTTTGCTCTGCGTACGTGTTGCAGCGTGGTCATGGTCACCCACCTCCTTACCATCCCGGCTTTGCCCTTCCCCAGGTCTCTGTTTCTTAATGTGGCTCTTGAATTTTGCTCTTTAAATTATTTATATTCTGCTTGCAGTCTTGATAACCAACTCTAAGCAAGCTGGTTTTCATAGAGGGCTTTCTCACATATGGCCGGCCAGGCACTCAATAGATGGAGAATAGCTTAAGGTTTAGAATTTTCTGTTGCAGACACAAGTTTTGTTTCGTTTTCTTAAGACAAGGCTTCACTGTGTAGTTTATGTTGGCTTCGCACTCACTGTATAGCCCAGCTTGGCCTCGATCACAGCAATTTTATTGCCTCAGCCTCTCCAGCCTTGAGATTACAGGTGTTTACCTCGCTGGTCGGCTCAGGCACAGCAATTTGTAAAACATATTTCTTTTTTTTTTTGGAACCGGGGATTGAACTCAGAACCTTACACTTGCCAGAGAAGCGCTTATTCCACTGAACTATCTCTCCGGCCCCTATAAAACATATTTCTTGAATAACATGTTCCTTGATGTCAGAAACTCTGTTAAAGGTTCAGGACTTTAATTAAGATTTAATGAAGTTTACAAGTAATCGTGCCATGGTCTGCTGTATTTTTATAAAAACAACTTTATTTGTTTATGTTTGAGGTGCGGGTCTTACATGTAGTTGAAACTGACCTTGAGCTCACTATGTAGTCCAGGTTTGTCTTGCACTCACGGTGATTCTCCTGCCTCAGCCTCCTGAGTGCTGCAAAAGTAGCATTTTAACTCATTAGTTTCCTTTGTATTTGTTTAATGTTGCTGACAGTATTCAGAGTTCTTTGAAGTCCCTGTGACAGTCCCATCCCTAAAAGTGAACTGCCCAGCCCTGTCCTGTCTTTGCTTCTCATCCTTTCTGGGGAGAAGGGTGGGGGCTCCTCTTTTGCCGCTCTTTTCCTTGCCGCTGGCAGTCTCTGCTGCTGCGCCCACTGTCCCTGGAACTCCACCCGTGAGGCGTCTTATCAGGGCTGGTATTCACCTTCTTCATGGCTCCTGTGATGCGCTGGGATGTCCTCGTGTGTGGGCTCCTCTTCTTCTGGGCTCCTCTCTGTGTCTCTTTTCTCCTCTTTCCACCTCAAGCTTGGTTTTCCTTTCGTGCCTTAAAAAACCATTTCTGTGCTGTAACCACAGGGAATCTTTCTCTTGGCCACACCTATCTGTCCAGCTGCCTACTAGGAACTCAGAGGAGTTCCTGTGAGTTTTCTCCCCGGAAAGGACAAAAGCAAAGACAGGACAGGACTGGGTAGTTCACTTTTAGGGATGGCACTGTCACAGGGATTTCAAAGAACTCTGAATACTGTCAGTATTCAGTAATGTGTGTACAAATGTACACATTAAAAGTTAATGATTCTTTTCCCTGAACTTCATTTTACTCCCTTTTTTGGGGTGCTGCCTGCTGCTGGAGAACTAATCCAGGGCCTTGCACCTGCCAGGCGGGCCCTCCGCTGCTTAGCTATGTCCCCAGTCCCTATGCTTTCTCAGCGGATTCCACTTGGTGTCTCTTGTGTCTTTTTTCCTTCCTGATTGTCTCAGTTCCCAGCTTCATCATATTCCCCTTGGGTTTTTTACGTAGTTTCTATCTGTAATTTATTTTGAAAGCTTCTAGGTTTTCTAAAATAAAAATGAGATTATGTTTGTCGCTTGCATTTAGTGGCACCCTGTCACCTGGGGAGGTGATCTGTCACTGAGAGCATCAGTCTCTAAAGTGTGCCTGGCATTGCCCTTCCGGTCTAACTTATGGTATTTTGTTTGTTCTCCTCATAGTTAGAAGTATGGGTTTGCTTTCTGTTACTGTCAGGACTACTGGAAATTACCTGAGAACCAGGGCTTTCTGAGATTCCTAGCTTTGGAGTTATGCTTCATGACAGAGTGGCCCTGTTCTGTGGGCTTGTGGTGTGCTGGCCCTGCATAGTGGGAGCCGGTGACAACCACAGCGCTCAGTTCACCTTCAGGTCTGGTACAGAGAGAGGAAGAGATGAGGGTGGCCAAAGACCACCACCAAGGGCGCCCCCTAGGGGCCAAGGACTTTAGGTCCCATCTTGATGTTCTCACCACCTCCCAGCGCTACTGTATTTTCACATGAGGGGTTTCAAACCCAAACAATAACAGAAGTGGCTACGCATCTGTCTTGCTCAGGGTTGGTTGCCGTCTTTCATCTTTGCCTCCCTGAGACCTGCCTTTTTAAAGTACTTGTTGACTGAAACTGACTATAGCAATCGGGTTACTTGTAAAATTTTTCAGGTTTTATAACAATTATATCGTGTGCATTTTATAGTGCTTACCATGTAAATCACATTTACTTGGTTACTTTCATTTGTTCAGTTTTGGATTTGCTAATTTTCTTCCCACCTCTGTTTAATTAGGAGAGCCACAGACATTTACATTAAAATTCAAGAGGGCTGAAGACTACCCTATTGATCTCTACTACCTTATGGACCTCTCTTACTCGATGAAGGATGATTTGGAGAATGTCAAAAGTCTTGGGACAGAACTGATGAATAATATGAAGGGGATTACGTCAGACTTCCGAATTGGTAGGAATGATGGGAAATTTAGCAGTATTCATGCAGATAAGTCTTGGCCCTTCTCCAAGCCCTTTTATTTGGTCCCCCGCTGTGCTTCATCATGTATGTGTGACGTCAGTAGGCCAAGTTTTAGCCTTTTCTTGCTGAGAGGAAACTGACTTCTGTCATGTATACAGTGTCCTTTCTTCTCGCCCTCTTTCTGTGGACATGGTATGTGGCCGTGCGTTGTGACACAGATTGTGCCCTGTTTGTAAAGAAATCCATGCTGCCCCCTTTTTTTTTTTTTTAATCAGGAATTTACTCATTTGTCTGTTGGTTCATTTTAGAAGTGTGTCAAGTACCCCAGGTTCTCTTTCATTACTAATTAGGATGACCCACTTCTTGTGCAGTCCAATTTACTTCCTATCTGGGTTTTTTGTACTAAAATGATCACTTATAACTTCGTTTTCCCCTTGTCTTGAATCCTCAGCTGAACCCTTCTTCTGCCTTGTCCATTCCTCGCCCACCGGAGGTTTAACAACAGAATATCGGGGAGACTCGGGTCTCCCCGGGGCCTAAACAATGCTTTTTAAAAATTAGCTCTGTTTTAAGTGGAAGCATTTTTTGAAAATCACACTTGTTAAAAATGCCTTTATTCAGTAAGCATAATTGATGATGGAGGTTAAACGCTCTTTCTGACCTCTTTGGAAGCGGTCAGCACTCCGAGTGTATATGCATAAATCTGTTCTTTCGTTCACCGTGCCGTTGTCAGGAGACTGGTGCTGAGATAACGAACGTGAGTTCTGTCTAGAGTGGGGAGGCCTGTTCTTAGTCTGTTTGCTCTGCTCTGAATCAGCACTGTAAACCACATGCTTTACACACAGCAGGAACCGGCTTCCCCCAGCAGGCCTGTGTCCCAGGTGGTGCCAGAGCGGTATGGCTCAGCGAGGGGAGGGCAAGGGCCACTCCCCGGGCCTCTGAGTGCAGTCACTGTTCCCAGCCTCCTCCCTCAGGATCTGACCATCCCCCAGAAGGTCCCTTCCCACTGTACCTTCACATTGGGGTTGGGTTTTTAGACACAGGCACGGTCTGTAGCAACCAAGCTGTGGAAACGTGATTGGCTTTCGAAACACACACGTTTATCTTTCCATCTCTATCAGTGCAGTTGTCAGCCCATGTGTGTCTTCTCAGGGTTTGGCTCCTTCGTGGAGAAAACAGTGATGCCTTACATTAGCACAACACCAGCAAAGCTCAGGAATCCTTGCACCAGCGAGCAGAACTGCACCAGTCCCTTCAGCTACAAGAACGTGCTCAATCTTACCGACAGAGGAGAAGTGTTCAACAACCTTGTTGGCAAACAGCGCATATCTGGAAATTTGGACTCCCCTGAAGGAGGCTTTGACGCCATCATGCAAGTGGCTGTTTGTGGAGTAAGTGTGCCCATCTTGCTTGGGGGTGTTCCTTGTAATATTTGCATGTTTTAAGTGGGATTTCACGGACATTTAGTAGAAGGAATGAACTTAATGAATTACTGTAACTGTTGCCTATCCCTGAGAAGTATGGGTATTAAGCTCTGAAATTCTCTCCAATTGTTTAGTGGTTTAAAAAGTATGATTTAACTTTATGTCCCTAGTTAAACCAGGCAGGTAGCTCATCTGTACAGTTCTTTTTTTTTTTTTTGGACTGGGAACCAAGCTCAGGACCTTGTGCTTGCCAAGCATGTCCTGTACCACTGAGTTATCCCCCTGCCCTTTGTACAGAGTGTTCCAAGCCATCAGAGGCAGTGGGGCCGTGCAGTGGTCTGAGGCTGGTGTCCTGTGGGCTTGGGAAGCATGGCTCAAGCGTCCAGGAGGCAGGATTGGTACTGGAAGTGGAAGTGATGTTCTCTGAAGCATCCCCTGGCAGCCTGGAGAGTGGTCAGGGACCTCGAATCCTTTCCCTTTAGTAGGGTTTCTTCTGCCCATTCTTTTTGTTTTGTTTTCTGTTTTGAGACAGGGCTTCACTCTGCAGTTCACACTGGCCTTGAACTCCGAATGATCCTCCTCCTTCCTCCTCCCAAATGCTGAGGTTGCAGGTGTGCGCCACCACGCCCAGCTTTCTTCTGCCCATTTTCTTTCCGAGATGCTTCTGTATCTTAGTAATTCAAAAGGGAAGAATGTCTGAAGCCTTTTTTTGTAAGCTGTATGACAATGTATGTTTTGAGAAGTATTTGTGATTTTACTTATGTAAGACTTTCAGT